GTCAATTTGGCTAAGCCACACAATGGGCAACCTAATTTGATATCGAATTAGCCGTCCACGAGATTCGAACCTAAAACCTCTCATTTATAAGTGAAGATAAATACCACCAGACTGTAGTACTGAGTGACATTTTGTATCGAGTTTTAGTTATTTTTTATAAACTTTTATTTTATATTTAGCTTCTTTTATTGGTTTTTTAAGTTTGAAGTTGAAGTTCCTAATATATCTTTAAATTTAACAAAAAAATAGATAAAATTAGTGAAAATGACCAACAGCGTAATAAATTGTTAAAGACTAAATAAACTAATACAAAAATTCAAGGTCTAAAATTAAATTAAGTGGAAAATTGAGTGACTATTTCTATAATTAAGCCAAAAAACAAAGGTATAAGAAAGAACCGGGTATTCGGGTCAAGTCTTCATTTGAAATGCTGACCCGACAAGAAATATCCGCTTTAGTGCGAGAAAATATTGACCGAGGTGGAAGTTTGGGAGGCCATACAATTTCCAACGGGCTGGACTGGAGTGTGGCCTTATCTCCCTCCTCTGCTCCTCTCGCTATATAAACCCACAGCGGCCGTTATCCTCTCCGCTCTCAATCCTCCACAGACCTAAAGATTGAGCCTCCCTCTCTCGTTATCCTCTGTCTTCCTCCTCTTCGAGGAGTTTCAGCAAACACCTTGCGTGCAAGGAGAAGGAACAAGGAAGAAGCAGAGGGCGAAGAGAGTTCAGGGTTCTGCAGAAATTGCAGAAATGACTTGTATTGTTGGAGTTTCGTCTGTATATGCCCAGAGTCCGTGCAGCGAGCTGTACAGAAGAGCGGCGGCGCCGGCTGCGGCAACGACGAGCAGTGCTACTCTTTCGTTGGCGTTTCCCGAGAGGCCTCACTTCAACAGTGTTTTGAGAGGCAAGAGTGGGTTGGTCAGGCAGGGCTCCGGTGTCGTTTGTTCGGCCATTGCCACTCCGAACTCGGTGCTCAGTGAAGAGGCGTTTAAGGGATTCGGTGACTTTTCTAAGGACTCGCTTGACTCCGACTCGGAGTACGAGTCGGAAACTGAGTCGGGTTCCGCTGGTAGTGACGACGATGAGCTCGCTCTTTCCAAGCTGGGGTTGCCTCAGCGGCTTGTTGATAGCCTTGAGAGACGTGGCATTTCGAGCCTTTTCCCAATTCAGGTACTTCATTTCTCTCTCTGGTTTTGCTTATCTTATCTATTTCCTTTGAATTTTAGTGTTAATTTTATCATGAAATTACTGTAATTTAGTTTTTGTTGGAACCCTTTTGAGCATTATCCTTAAAATTATGTGTGGTGTGATAAAAATGTAAGCTTTCTGCAGATTATAACAGTTTAAAAGGTGCCCTTATAGCATAAACCCTGAACCCTACATGTACGTATGTAGGTGTATGTAGTTGTTTACTGATAGCTTTCTTTGTTGAAAATGTTTAGAGAGCTGTGCTAATACCTGCACTGGAAGGTCGAGATATCATTGCTCGTGCGAAGACGGGGACTGGAAAGACATTAGCCTTCGGAATCCCAATACTCAAGCGTCTCACAGAAGATGATGAACAGAGAGGCTCTCATAGGTACCATTTGTGATGAAGTTTATTATTCACATTATAACTAAAGACATGTTCTTTTGAAAATGATGTGATGAATTTCTGTTTTTATAGGCGGACCGGTTATCTTCCTAGAGTTTTGGTGCTTGCACCTACACGGGAGTTGGCAAAGCAAGTTGAAAAGGAGATGAAAGAATCTGCACCTTACCTAAACACTGTTTGTGTCTATGGGGGAGTTTCCTACATAACACAACAAAGTGCTCTCTCCCGTGGAGTTGATGTAGTTGTTGGAACTCCTGGTCGGATTATTGACCTGATAAACGGGAACAGTCTCAAATTGGGCGAAGTTCAATATTTGGTACTTGATGAAGCTGATTCGATGCTTGCTGTTGGATTTGAGGAGGATGTGGAAGTGATTCTACAAAAGCTTCCAGCTCAGAGGCAGAGCATGCTTTTTTCTGCAACCATGCCTGGTTGGGTGAAAAAATTATCACGGAAATATTTGGACAATCCATTGACAATTGACTTGGTAATGTCATTTTTCTTTTCTTTCTTTCCTTTGTTAAGTTTAAAACTTTCATTATTCGTGTAATCTGTGTCATTAGAACATTGCATGGAGTGATGCCTAAAATATGTTTACTGAATATTAAACGCTTAAAGCCAATGGAAGTTGTAGTTGTTTAAAGCTATGTGGAAGACACCAAAGTTGTAATATAGGAAAAAAACTAATTAATAAATTTTGCATCTCTTATGTTTGTAGAGTGGAAAGTGAGCCTTAAATAATTCCTTTTCCACTTTCTTTTTTCCCAAAGGTTGGCGATCAAGACGAGAAGCTTGCAGAAGGGATCAAACTTTATGCTTTATCAACCACTTCAGCTTCAAAGAAGACCATTCTTAGTGATCTTATAACAGTAAGAGTTGGAACTCATTACTGACTCTTTTTTTGGCTCAAACGTATAATATGTAGGTATGCTGCACAGCTGCCTCACTTTTTAATATGATCTTTAATGTTGTTGTGGTGTTTTCCTTCGAAAGTCGTTTAGTTTATGATGAAGATGGTGACGTTGATTATATTATGAATCTGCATGGCTCTAAATTACTTCAAAAAGGAAACATTTTCCACATAGCACTGAAGAATGTCATATCTTCAGGTGTATGCAAAGGGTGGGAAGACCATTGTATTTACACAAACGAAACGAGATGCTGATGCAGTCTCAATGTCATTAACAAGTAGCATAGCTTCTGAGGCATTGCATGGAGATATATCACAGAATCAAAGAGAGAGAACATTAAATGGTTTTCGGCAAGGGAAATTCACTGTGCTTGTTGCCACTGATGTTGCATCCCGGGGACTTGATATTCCCAATGTCGATTTGGTAAGCTTAGGAGTTTCTTATGATTTCTAATCAAACTTTTAGTAAAGTTTTATGGATGCTTGTACATGTGTATATGTAACTATTACCACTTTGTTTGCCTGTAATAGATGTTCTCTAAACATATCATTTGCCAACACCTTGCTAAGCCTGTGGCTGCAATATTAATTTTTTCTTCTTCCAGGTTATCCACTACGAGCTTCCCAATGATTCAGAGACATTTGTGCATCGCTCTGGGCGTACTGGACGTGCAGGGAAACAAGGTACTGCCGTTCTGATGTTTACGAACAACCAGAGGAGAACAATTAAAACTCTTGAGCGTGATGTGGGGTGCAAGTTTGAGTTTGCTAGTCCACCAACTATGGAGGAGGTTTTGGAGTCATCTGCTCAGCACGTTGTTGCTACTCTTAGCGGAGTGCATCCTGAATCTGTACAGTTTTTCACACCAACGGCACAGAGATTGATTGATGAACAGGGAACAAGTGCTCTTGCTGCTGCACTTGCACAGCTCAGTGGATTTTCTCGTCCTCCATCATCCAAGTCCCTTATCACTCATGAGGCGGTAATAATTGAAGTCATTAAACACTTAATTTTCCGTCTAGTAGTTTATTTTCTTGAAGTTTGGCGGAGCAGGAAGATGTTTTCAAATATTCACGTCTCTTGATACTTCTAAATGGTTCATTTTGAAGTTAAATAATCACACCATCAAATACTGTCTATTTATTAAATACTGTAGAATGTGAAGTGCATCTTTGTTTTCCAGTTTTTTGGGGCATGCGTTCTGCAGCCCATTTGTGGTGTCGGTATATTAATTGAACTGTTAAATTATATGCAGGGATGGACGACATTGCAACTTATCCGAGATCCATCGTTTGCCAGAGGGTTCCTGTCTGCAAGATCTGTCACTGGGTTTCTTTCCGATGTTTATTCTACAGCTGCTGATGAAGTTGGAAAAATACATATAATTGCAGATGAACGGGTTCGTATCTACAACATCTCAGGCGTATTTGATTATTGCTTCAATTCATTTCACTCAAAACAAATTCTGATGGTGATAATTTCAGATTCAAGGAGCAGTTTTTGATCTTCCAGAGGAGATTGCCAAAGAGTTGCTGACCAGGCAAATACCCCCTGGAAATACTATTTCCAAGATATCCAAGGTTTACTTTTGCTTTTGGTCACTTTGTCATAAGAGAAGCTTTTGCATGAATGGCTGCTGACGTTTGTATTGCATGCATGTACTATTTTGTGTTGGCAGTTGCCAGCCCTGCAAGATGATGGGCCGGTGAGTGACAACTATGGCAGGTTTTCAGGCAGAGATCGCCGGGGAGGAGGCCGTGGAGGAGGCCGGGGTGGAGGTTTTAGGGATCGTCAAGGATCATCAGGTGGTTTTAGAAGCTCCAGGGGTTGGGGTAGTGATGGTGGTGCCGATGATTCATTTAGGAGTAGTGGCCGAAGTTATGGATCTAGCAACAGCAGACCTCGGAGTCCAAGAAGCATCGATGACGATTGGCTTATTGGAGGCCAACGATCAAGCAGGTCACCATCCCGAGACAGGTATATCATCTTTTTAGTTTCTCATCCTTTTTACAGCACAATAATAATTCGAAACACATCAGCTAACACTGAAATGATATCTGAATTTGCAGTTCCAGAAGCTTTGGAGGTTCCTGCTTCAATTGTGGGCGCTCCGGCCACAGGGCATCAGATTGCCCTACCAAACAAGGATTCTAGATGTGCATCCTTAAACATCAGTTTTCCGGCACCATTGGTGGGTTCCGTGCATGTTTAACCATCAGTTTTCAGCACCATTGGTGGGTTAGAGGCTGCTGCCACCGCGGGCAGGCATTGCTTTCTACTGTTTTTGTGTTTGTGGGCAAGGTCAATGAGATTGGGAGATGTTTCTCCTGAGTGTTACAAGAACCAAATTGAACCACATACCTAGAGTTCTAGGAATTATGTTTGGACTGCTTTCTCCCGCTCTCACATACGTATTTTGTTTCGACATTATAATCATCAAATGTAATTGTGCTCTCAAACCCTCATGTGTTACTGATTAAATTAGAATATCGCTCGAATTAAACTGGGATTTCATTTCAAATGCTAAACATTTCAATTTTCAACGAAGATGAAATGGAGAACATATGAAATGAGCAAAATCCATCTACTTACCAAATAGAATGTTGATGACGGTTCTAACTACAGGTCCTCTCTTGCTCTTGAGAACCTCCTTCACTGCCGTCTCCTCTGGCATGAACCCCTTCCCTTTCATCTCCTCCAGTAGCTCCCTCCCCTCCTCCGCCTTCTCCAGCCTTGCAAACCCCTCAAACACTGCTGTGTAAGTACCGGCATTAGGCCGCTTTCCCTTGCCCACCATATCCAGCAAGTATTTCTTGGCATCCCCAAGAAAATTGCCACTGAGGTCAGCCGCCAGCGCCTTGATCATCACACTGTAAGTGTAGGCGTTCGGGGCCACCCCAGAGGCCAACATCCGCATGTATACCTTGAGAGCCTCCTTCGTCTTTCCGGCATTGGCGTAGGCTTCAATGACGGCGGTGTGCGAAACTACGTCGGGCATTTGACCCTTGTCCTTGATCTGAGCAAAGAGCTCCAACGCCTCGTGGGTCAATCCGTCTTTGGACAATGCGTCGAACATCTTGACTGCATTGTTGGTGAGGCCATCGCTCCGCATTTTGTGGAAGACTTCTTGCAAGTCCTTCGGGTCTTCCGGGTCCTCGACGGCGGGCTTCTTGCTGAAAGGGTCGTACGGAGGAGGGAGCTTCGACTTGTCAACCTCCTTGGCGGCGGCGGGCAGCGTCGTTTTGTTATCGTCTTCGTCGTCTGAAGGGAGCGAGAAGTTAACCTTGGTGTTGATTTTGGTGCTGGGTTCGCCGCCGCGGCTATGTCGACGGTGGTTTTCTGTGGTGGAATCGCAGCAGGAGCAGCTACGGGTTCGTCCTCTAAGGGTATTATGGGAACGAAAAGGAGTCAGTGAAAATGGAAGAAGCGAACTCCTGTGATGGTTCTGGTGGAGTGGTTGCCGGCGGCTATGGCGATGAGGCGGGAGGAGACGGCGGTGGAGAAAGGATTAGACTTGGTGGTGGTAGAGGCAAGAAGCTGAAAGGCGCGAGATAGCAGTGTGCCCGCCATTGTTTTTCTCTGTTCGTTTGTATCGGTATGCGTCTTTGAGCCGTCGGATTTTAAGTTTGTGATTTCTGCTCCCAATTTGTTCGAGAACGTTCCAATCTAGTACTAACTATTCTAAGTGATCCTAACATTTGAGAAAAGATCCTCTTTGATCTCTTCCACCAAGGCCACCCAATCAAGTGATCCGGATCTTTGAAATTTCATCTAACGGTAAAAATTATTATAACTTTTAAGGAATCAAAACAGATGGACCGTTGAATGAAATTTCAAATGTCCAAATCACTTGATCCGATAGCTTTCTCCTAGCATTTATCATGTGATCAAAACACGTGTCGTTGCATGACAAGTTGAATGATCCATGCGGTTTGCGCTGGGATGGAGTCACCTGCAACAATTCAAGGGTGTCTGCGCTGTGAGTACCGTTGATCTGTCATTGACATTTGATAGATCCTCGTTCTTAAGGGAAATTTCTTGAACAGATTTATGCTTCTATGTGCAGGGCATTGTCAAGCATTGGCATGAAGAGTTAACTTATTGGTGACATTGGGTAACTCACTGAATCAAGATCCTTGGAATTTTGACATGATGCAACAAACTGTCCATTTTTCTTATATCGTTCAATCTTTGATTATCATGGCATTACGAATGAATGATTTATGCATACCCTTATTTATTTATGATCTTTAGATCGAATATATCCAACAATAATAATCAAGGAACAAAGATAAATAGGGCTGTGCAAAAATGTATCTCTACTATGTCATGGCAATAGGAGGATAATAGAATTTGGATCACTACAAGGGCCTCTGCCAGAGAAGCTTTACGGCCATCCAGAATTACAGCGAAAGTTTAACGGAGAACACTCGAAGAAAAACATGCGTCCAAGTTCAACCATAATTAAAGGGCCGTTTGAAAATCATTTCTTACGAAACTGATCATTCATATTCTCATACCTCTTGACAAGGAAACTAAAAAACAACTTGTTTAACGAGACGTTGAACATGGGAGATAGCATCAGCAAACAACTGCAGCTTCTTGATCTGCAGAACAATCAGATTTCCAAACTAATTCTGGGTTATGAATACAAAAATGAACAAATGTGAGAGTTCATGGTTCTTGATCTCTTTTGATTTCTATGATTTCTATGAACAAATGGGGGTACGGCTAGCCGACATTCACCTCTTCCAGACCCTGCGTAAAGCGGGAGCCTTGTGCACTGGGTACGATCTTTTTTTTGTGTTATTTTCCGTCACAATCCCTCTTGGTTGACACTTTTACACGTAGAAGACTTTTCGGCAACCCGGTACGCAGGTGCCTCAAATGTTACTTTCTGTCAGCCTTCCCATCAAGCTACAAAATCTTAAAATGGTCAAAACAAGATCTTTCAGCCAAGTTAGACTAGAACAATGCACCACCATTTACATTCAATTAGCTTTATAAAAATATTAGATAAAATATCACTCGAATAAAAATATTAGAGTTTTTGACCAATTTCTGGAGGATGGTATGAAATTGAGGATCCTCTCCAGATTTCACTATGGAGCTCATGAGCAAGAAATCCGGACTACTCAACTTGAATCTGACGGTTCCCATTGTCTCATTTTACTGACCCACCTCACATAAACCAAAAGCCCGAATCTCTCTTTCTGTCTATTGAACAATTCGAGTTTCTTAATTCTTAGGTTCCAGAGAGTAAAATCCAGAGAGGATCTAAATTCAAAACTGAAGAGGATGTAATGGTAGCTTTTAAATCTTCTTATGATTGGATTTTATTTGAGTTCCAAGTCAACATTGTGAAATGGGGAATCATATATTCAAGTATTTTCTCTCCTTATCTTCTTTGTTTTCTTTACATGCATACGATCTGATTTTATTTGATGAATCTTCTGTAGAACCAGATGGAATTTATGGACTCGTGCTTTGAAAAGGTCCATTCCACATGAAATCCCTCTGGCCAACTGCTAACTTTTGAAACAGTCAAAAGGTTCTTTTTGGTTTTTTAATCACTTCTCCTCAAAATCAACTGTAACAGAGCCTTGACAATGGTTAGACCTGAGATATTTGGAGTTCGGGAATGAATTTTCCACTTTTGTTTTTTTAAATGATAAACACGCATCATTTTAAAGTCTTACACATAAGCGGTAGGTCTCGGGTTCGAGATTTGGGAGCAGCCTCTCCATAAATGGGGGTAAGGCTAGCCGACATTCACCTCTCCCAGACCCTGCGTAAAGCGGGAGCCTTGTGCACTGGGTACGACCTTTTTATGTCTGTTAATTTTATTTGATTTATCTAATCTGAAGATCAGAAATTAAAAATGGTGTGTGAGACCACTTAGTATTACGGTCTAGTGATATTTCTTTTCACTTATAAGTGAGAGGTCTTAGGTTCGTTCGATTCTTGTCAAAGGCAAATTTGAATCACATTAATTATATGGCAAAAGGTCTTAGGTTCGTTCGATTTTCGTTAAAGACGAATTTGAACCATATTATATGGCTAAAGGTCTTAAGTTCGATTCTAGTTAAAGACGAATTTAAATCACATTATATGACTACCTCATTGTAAGACTTAATCCACTCCCCTATCTCCTTAATGTAGAAAATATCATTTGTTAAAAAAAATGATATGTGAGATACTAAAAAAAAGTGTGTGAAAATCACCTCTTTGGTTCCTCTATACACTCATGTGTATTTCTGATTTTTCAATAAAATAAATTAAAAAAATCAGGGAATTGAAATTAATTAAGAGTTTAAGTTTATAAAAGAAGAAAAACCTTGTGTGGAAAATATTTTTGTAGTGGTTTTGATCATTTGACGAACCCTAACAAACACTAGTGTGGTACCACTTATTCCACGCTATGAACTCTAACCTCAAGAATCCCATGCGCAAATGTACTAATCAATGTCATCATGCGCATGCCGATGTGCAATGCTGGTCATAAACTTAAAATGTCCAACTCTAAGAGCAATTTCACCCCTAAGACTTTGTGCCAGCACCCAGCGCATTTATCCACTCAAGTGAATAGTAATAGACCCCACTGAATAGTAATAGGTCAAAACATCTCAATCCCTAAAAAAATGCACTGGCATCCAGCCCATTTAAAATTTTTTAAATTTTTTTTATAAAAGAATAAATAAATAAAATAGTTTTAATTTCGGATAAGATTTTTAACCAATCTCGTCACGCCACGTGTCATTATCCGAACGTACTATTTTGTGAATAGATTTCCGCTAAGATTTGCAATCAATCTCGATGCGCCACGTATCACTATTTGTTTACAATAATTTAGTCAAAATTACGATAAGATTTTCAACCAATCCCGACGTGAAAGATGAGGGTTAGGTATTTATAGAAGAAAAAAAAGTAAATTTTTTTAAATTTTTCTGTACTTTTTTAAATAAATTTTAATGTTTTTAATTAATCTAGACCGTTGGATTTGAAAAATATTCCAATCCAACAGCCAACGAGCTGCCACGTGGCCAACGGTCATAATTCTGACCGTTGGGCCTTTTTTTGGGGGGGGAACGTGGACCGTTGATCTGTGATCGGACGGTCCAGTTTAAAAGTGAAATTCAATTTTTTTTTACCGTTGAAAATCCAACGGTCTAGAAAAACTAGTTGTTGGAAATCCAATGACAAAGAGAGGGCCACGTCGCCATGATCTGGGTGATGGGTGAGTGCGCTGATAGTGGGCCCCACTGCCTACATTCTTATCTCCTACTTGCGCCCACTCGCAAGTGAAAGACACGCGCTAGCCAAATAGGCCGGTCCCAAGGTCAGTAAAAAATGGGCTGGTCTGGAGACTGGCACGGACTGGGTGCCAAGCAAGTTTGTGGGCTGGAGTGGATTGACAGCCTCCCAGCCTGGTTCTTTTACTGGGTGCTGGGCTATTCCATCTCCAGTGGAAATGTTCTAAAGGGCATATAGATGAACATACTCATGAAACGGATGCATAATTTTTTTTTCTCCTTTTTTTTGGGGGTCAAGATAAAGCTAACCAAGCTACTAGCTCCAAACCAGAAGCCTCTCGGGATAAACATGTTGTCTTCCGTGTTGCATCGATATTGTCTTCGGCTTAACTACACGAGCTGAATTAAAGTGACTCAAGTTGTCTCAGTAGAACTTAGAAAACATCGCACTTAATATTGTACCAAAAAACAGTTGCATGTGTTACATGATTCATGAATCATAACCTAAAATTAGATCAAACTCAATTTTTTTTTTTTGGACAAGTGTCGAACTCAAAAATGCTGGCAATAGCAAGGCTACTGGTTTAGGTGTTCACAGCACAAATGTAGGCCAGCAACGTTTGGTTTGGGATGAAAGGATTCTTTGCCGTTCAAATGAAAGTAGATATATTTTGTGTCAACTGTATGTCTTGTCCAGGCATCAGTTTAGTCACAAGACAACTGTCACTCCTCACTTGGATAAGAACAATAGTTATTGCGACATGCTTATAATTAGGAGAACAATTTACATGGAACGAGTTTATAGCCAGCTATCGTGATGTTCTGGTCTAAATAATGCATTCTCATTCTTGGATGCTATATAGCGGTGAACTCATTCCGTGTAAATTCTCTTTCATAGCCAACCATATGCACAAAGGGAGGAATAGGCTTAACTACTTATGAGTTGGAATTAAACTTTTGGATGTTGAGTTTATTTACATAAGTGGTTTTTAGGGTGGTGAGTCGAACTCAAAATCTCAGTTACGTGAGTGAATATTGCCCATCTGGTGGCTCGGTTTAGAAGTAATATCTTGCCGCTATTTTGTGAACTTAAAAATACTGAGACTCAACTTATTAATTTACACAAAACTTAATCATTTGATAGAACAAAGCGAAATGCGGCAAAATGAAGAAAAGCTCATGGATAGACCCCATCGTCTCCACCCTATAGGAACTATGAGTTCACCCCAAGGACACCTCTGGTGTGATCTCAAGT